GTTTGGGTTCATGCTGGTAATTTTGAGATAGAAGTGAGATAGAATTAATGTGTTCTAAAATATATAATATTTGAAGTGTGTGTGTGTGTGTGCGTGTGTGCATTTTATTGTTGTTGTTTTTCTTGTTGCAGGTTATTTTTTATTTTGGCTATGCTTTTTCATTGTTTGATGATGGTTATAAAAATTACGGTATCTGCAAAACTTAAATTTGAAGTTGGTAGTTTCCAGAGCAACTAGCAGCTTAATCTAACAATAATATTGCAGTTCAAACCACAATATACCACAATCCTTCTGCCACTCCAAATGAGGAAAATACGACTTGCATTATGATTTTCATCAGTTAGACAGACTTATCACTGCTATGACTATATGTTTAACCTGCATAGTTACATTTTGTTGTATTACACAAAATGAGGCTGTTCTACGTTGGAGTTTATGTACTGGCGCTGTTTATTCCATACTATGTGTTCTATTTGCCATGACTCCCTGCTCTGCATTCTGTATTGTTTTATCTCTTGCCTCAATAAAATAAAGATTGACAAAAAAAGAAAGAAAAACATTGTTTATTTTTCTCTCTACTCTGTATGCTTTCTCTGTGCCAACTGCCAGATGCAAAGGATAGAGTTTATAACAATGATTGGCAAGGAGATAGCATGGAGGCACCCAATTGAATGATGAAGAGGTGTTGATGTCTACATTTCATTTTCACACAACACAAATACTATTTTTTTTAAATATAGGGATAACTAAACATAATATTCAAAATTCTGGGAAGTCCCCCTTAAATATAAAGAATGTGTACTGTTAATTTTTCAGCCAATTGATGTACAGCAAAAATCCAACTACATCTTTAAATATGCTACAGTGATCAATCAAAACCATTATATGTCTGTGTTTTATGTTGTGGGAATTGGAGCCACTGTGGGGAGAATAGTGACAGGACAAGATAAAGGCCAAGCATGACATGGGAGAATAGAGCTACACCACACAAAGAAGGAGATCTCTTTGCATTAATTTACAGGACATATTTTTTTTTACCTATTGTTTTGACCAAGAGAACACAAATGCCACTTTATCTTCAAACTGTGTTGGTTAGTTTTACATTGCAACCTGAACACAGAATTCCAGAAAGTCAACTTTTATACAATCTGCTGCCATTTAGAACTAATGATAGTCTGCTATGTGTTCATTTCAATAGAAGTGGTAGAGTCACTGCAAGCACTATCTGCAAGCTCAGAAGGACCCATGGTTCACTCTTTGCAAACCCTGCTGGTCTCTTAAAGGACCACTATAGGCACCCAAACCACTTCAGCTTAATGAAGTGGTCTGGGTGCCAGGTCCATCTAGGATTAACCCTGCCTACTGTAAACATAGCAGTTTCAGAGAAACTGCTATGTTTACATATGAGTTAATCCAGCCTCTAGTGGCTGTTTCATTGACAGCCGCTAGAGGCGCTTCTGCGCTTCTCACTGTGATGTTCACAGTGAGAGGACGCCAGTGTCCATAGGAAAGCATTAAGAATTCTTTCCTATGGACTGGCTGAAGGCGCACGCAGCTCTTGCCGCGCATGCTCATTCAGACGATGACGACCGAAGGAGGAGGAGAGTCCCCAGTGCCGAGCGAGCCCGGTGCTGGAGAAAGTTGAGTGTTTATCCCCCTTCCTCCCAGTTCAGCCCGGCGGGAGTGGGACCCTCAGGGTGGGGGCACCCTCAGGGCACTAAAGTGCCAGAAAAAACGAGTTTGTTTTCCTGGGACTATAGTGGTCCTTTAAATAGTGGGAAGACATATGGTCAAAGCACGGCTTCTTTCTAGATGGAATGCGTCCAAGACAGAAGCTTACTAGACAGTAAATATGGACATGATACATTTTGGCCTCTACAGTCACCAAGTTACAAAACAACTCCTGTCTCTAACCCAGGTCACCATCTCCAGAGTCTGAATAAAGGGACTGTGGAGGAGAAGAATCTTATGCATTACTGTTGCCATTTTGATCGACTGATTCTATTGCACCTGTTTCAACTACAGCATCACTAGAAACAACTTCCATAATAGCACCTCCAGATACAACTTCTTCTGCAATACCACTATCCAAATACTATACCGCAGGACAAACAGCTCACTAGTTTCAATCTTTACTGCATGTCAACATACTCTCCTCCAACAGCATGAACTCAACCGGAAACCTAAGTACTATTGTCTATATTTGCTGCCGTTTCCTTATCTCCCTAACTTTCAGCCCCACAAGCTTGTGTTTTAGAAATAAAAAACGCCAAACTGTCTGCTGATTCTATGATCCAGATCATCAGCCATCCTCATGAAATCCATACCTCTATATCCTGCAATAGGGCAGCTCCCTGTGAATCAATAAGTAAATGATCGTATTCTAACCATATTGGCAAATCCCAGATATACTAAAGCTATATGCGGTCAGGATTCGGACAGAAGTGTTCGGAAAATCACTAATGTTTGCAACCTAACCAATTTAAAGCACAAATATCAGAGGTTTATCAACAACTTTATGACAGCATAAGATAAATCAAATGCATCTGGCAGGGTTTGCAAATTATCATTCACTTGCCTTTTGTACTATTTGTCTGCTGTCAGTGCTAGCAGCCAGTGGCAAAATAGTTAAAACGCCTAGCACTTGCTAGATAAACACCACATGAAAAAGTAAAAATAAATAAATTAAAATCCTGTGTTGTTAATAAAGGGCCAATTTTACTATAAAGGAGGTATTGTACCTCGCTATGCCCCTATCTGCCATGTGGCAAATGGGTTCATATCAACCATATGTTTAAAACTGGTGGCTTTTTGCTAGAAAAGGATCCATGCCATCGGGATGGGGCTTGTGAAATAACAAGGTGGCGACCTCCCTAATTATGATAATAAAGGGGTTGACCTAGTGTGCCCCCCAGCCCACAACCATGATGGCTGCTGGGTGCCCTAAATAATTATAAAATAGGAGGGGTGGACATGTCCACCTCCCTGAAATTATAGCATATCCTTCCCCAGGGAGCTGGCCAGCTGCCAGATAGTTCAGATTTTTATTATAATAAGATTTTATCCATTTGGCGGCATTCATTCCAGGTGACATATAGACCAAACTCAGGCCATTTGGGGCATGATTTACACAGCACATACCTGGATTTTGCAACTAGGTGGTTTTGCCCCATTCGGTACAGGGCCATTCGGACTTTAGTGAATAGTCCTGAAAGTATCTGTTACTCCTCGTCATTTGCCATGTTTACCCTGACGTTGCCTTGTCCAAACTGCATTATACTGTAATTTGCCAACTCTTTCATACAAATTAGAAAGAAACAGAACTAACACAGGACGTTAAACCGTTCCCGCAGTCCTCCATGTTTTACACGCACTCTAGTTAAATACTCTTTCGTTTTATTATTTCTATGTTTTATAAAAATTAGGTATATAACGTACAACGTACCGCAACACCTTGATCCCTTATCTCTACTTGTGATTTTATACGTGCCTTTCTGTTATACTGCGCAATCTACCTCAATTTAAAAAAAAAACTGATTTACAAAAAAAAAAAGAAACAGAACATCCCGTGATAAACAAAACAAAATCTATCTAATTTATAGGTGATTTTAAATTTTTATTTTTGAAAGGTACCGTATACATTCCAGAAAGGTGACACTTCCCCATTAACCTCTTAAGGGAATGTGATAGAATTTTTGTCATGTGTTTGTATCTTTAAGGATAGCCAGCTCTGATTTAGATGTATCAGTACCCAAAGTACATACAGAAAATCGTTTGCAGAAATCGGATTGGAGCATAAAAACTAATTTATATACACTGTATAAATGTAAGACACACACCAAGGCCATTGTCACTGTTCTACAATATATCAATCATTTCCCAGCTTTCAGGACCATGATAACTTAAAATATTTCTACAATATTTCCAAGAAAAATAAACTTGATTGTTAACCATGTACCAAATAAATGCAATTACATCACTTAATAATTCAGTTAATTACTTCCAAGTAATTTATTTCCAGTTAAATACATGCAGTTTAAACAATTATGCTTAACACATTTTTATTGCATATAAACTGTTTTCATTTAATTGTCTGACAAATTACATTAAAACATCTCATGATACATCTCAGATGGTTTATAATGAATAAGAGATTTTGCTTTTAGCTCAAAACTATTACTTTTTATACAAAATTAAGTTTTCTTTGATTTCTTTTTTTTTGAAATTACAATCACACAGATCGCAATTCCACGGACATTAACAAGTTAAAACACTGATCGTTTATCCTTCTTTAATTGATACCTCAACATACGTACAAGACCTTTATTAATGACCAACTCTTTAATTTAATAATTGCATTAATTAATTAAAGTCTACCAACAGTAAATCGGTGTTAATAGGCTGCCTGCTCTACTTCTAAAATCATTACTGTACTATGGACAGTAATACTGGCCAAACCTGGTAAATTCTTCTAAACTTCAGAATTCTGTCTTTCACACATTGTGAATGAATGTATCATGTAAATAAGCTGCAAATGCCAAATAACCTTAAGAATGTGTGTTCATGATCCATAGCCACTAAATGTAAAAAAATAGGCATCATCAGGTGATCTTAGAAATTAAGATGGAGAGATGCAGATACACCCATTAGATGTGTTTTCTGCAACTTAGTTGGAATGTATGTGACTATACGCATTGGGAAATTAGCTGTAACATAGCAAAATCTGATGGAAATGAAGAGATCTTTGTTCTTTATGTGGCCAAATATGATTACTAGATATGTGCAATGAGTTTAGTTTCGAATGCTTCTGAATGTCCAAACTGACAAATTTCGGAAGTGCCAAACCGAACCGAATTGCCGAAGTGCCGAATTGCCGAATTTCGGCAGTGCCAAACTGAATTGCCGAAGAGCTGAATTTCGGAAGTGCCGAAGTGCTTTGGATTTCTGAAAAGTGACAAAACAAGAGACGGAAGGAAAATGACTGGAATGATGACAGGAATCTAACCCTACCCCTAACCCTACCCCTAACCCTACCCATAACCATACTCCTAACCCTAGATGTGTAAGTGGTTGTGGTAGTTAGGGGTAGGGTTAGGAGGTAGGGTTAGGACAAGGGTTAGGGGTAGGGGTAGGGCTTAGGTTTAGGGAATTGCCAATGTCCCAAATTGCCAAAGTGCCGAAATCCGGAAGTGCCGAATTGCCAAAGTGCCGAACCGAACCAAAGTACAAAATTGTCAAAGTCCCGAATTGCAGAAGTCATGAATTTCGGAAGTGCCGAACCGAACCAAATTTTTTGCCCATGCACATCCGTAATGACTACATCGTTACACCCAGCATTTATAGAAATGATCCTGTTTCAAATGTCTGTGATAGTTCATCTACCTGGCAATGATGGAGAGGAAGGTATTTAAGAGGGATGCAAGTAGGCAGGCCTAAAGAAGGGTGCCTGTGACATGATGTGTGTCACTGGTACCACCAAAAGGAGCAGGCCTGCCAATCACGTTTGCTGGTCCCATTAAAGTGAAGCATGTATAGAGTGCTGTTATAAAGTCTGCATGTTACTAGTTCCCTTGACATAGTGTGAGTGATCTAATGATGTGCTTGCGCTAGGCTTTCTGGGGACGCTAGGAAATAAACCCAGGACAGAGGACATACTGTCCCCTGAACCACAAGCCAGCAATCAGATCATTAGCAGTATGTAGTGCTAATTATCCACTGTATCCTAAGAATTTTATTTGTACATTACTTATAAGGCACCAGCATATTCCTCAGTGCCCATAGTAGTTAAACAAAACATCCAAGGAAGAGATAAAACACATATGGTAGCAAAAAAAGAGGGCCTTTTAAAAATAAAATTACTGTCTCACCAGTAAGAACCTTGCTGTACTGCATTATTCTCGTTAATAATTAAGACCATGGTCTGTGTTATGAGCAGTCATGGTTTTATTTACTGTAGCAGGTGTTTAAAGTAGACATTACTATGCTTATAAAAAGACCAAGAAATTTACATACAGGCATACATAAATTAGATTGCCCAAGTTCTCAAAGAATGTGATACTGATATCTGAAATAGACCACCCTTGACTTCCCTGTCTCCTGCTCATGATCTCAGTGGTCAAGTTTGGAATCATTTGCTGGATGCTTTTGACCTTATGTGAATGCAGTTCTTCTGTTTCAGTATTCAGGCTCTCTCTTTCAGAAACTGTGTTTAGAGTATGAGTGTTTATTTTAGAAGCAGATGCATCAGAGAGCAGCTGGCCAAGACTTCCCTCTGGCTGGCGATCTGAAAGGACAACCCGATAGAGCATTTTTGTTATGTACTATAGAGTCAATTTCTTCAGCATCTTGGAAAGGAATTAGTTCATTTATTTCAGCATCCCTTAACATCACAATTACTTCATATTAATGAAGTGATTTTGGGGCATAGTTGTTGGCCCTGTAGTCCTGCAGATGAAAACATGTTTACATTTAACAATCTCCATGCCCATGACGGCTGTCAGACAGACGGCAACGTGGGATCTTGGACAAAAATGTATTCAGTAATTGAATATATTTTATGTATACCAGCAGCATGCAGAGTATGCTGACATCAAACACTGGATGTGCAAGCAATGCTTCACATACAGATACAGTGGACCGGTGGTTTACTGAGATCAGGGCCTTAGTGGCATCAAGGTCAGCTTCCTCAACATGGGCATAGGAACCCCCAAAAATCTGGGGTGTAGCATTTTTACTCGCCGGGTATTTTCTTATTCCGTAAACAAAATAACGAAATAGGAGGGTGCGAGCAAGGAGCAATAAAATGCTTCTATTCAGAAGCGTCATTGCTCTCTGGTGCGCATGCGCATCGTTGTCGCACATGCGCAGATACTTCATAGGGCGGCATTCATGTCTCGACTAGGAAGCACCTCTGGTGGCCATCTGAGTGTCCACTGGAGGTATTCCTCATCAGTAATGTAAATACTGCCTTTTTACGAAATGGCTGTGCTTACATTAAAAAGCCTGCAAAGACATGCTATAGACATCAGAACTACTACGTTTAGCTGTTGTGATTCTGGTGACTATAGTGTCCCTTGAATATAGAGAGGAAAAAAGAATCATCAGAAATGTAAGAAATAAAATGTCTGTATCATTATTCTAAAAATTATTTTAAAAAAATAAAAAATATGCACATTCCTAGCTTAATTTTTAGCACGACATATGACACAAACATTTTGTACTTTGCAGATTACTTTTTATATTTTTTTATACATATACAGATTGTGTAATACTGCCCCTGACTTAGGGTGACCACATTTCCTAACTGCCATTCAGTGACACTTTCAGAAATGCATTCCATACATTTTACTACCCGTCTCTACCCCTTCCATTTATATTAGAACCCCTTTCCATGTAAATTAGAGATTAGTGCCACGAATAATATGCTAGATTGCCTACTTACAACCAGATGAGGATGATGATGGGCTCTAGCTGCAGTCTGGCTCCACTGGTCTGGTGTAGAACAGGCTCTCTGGAGGCTGTTTGTAACTGTGGTCACAAAAATCAATGTTCTGGGAGAACGGGAAGCAGCTCCATTTTTTGGGGGCCCTTTACACAGCTCAAGGTCTGGGTCCCAGGGTCCACCTTCATGTTCCACCAATGAGTTTGTTCACAGGGGGTGGAGTGTGTAGGGGATGTCCTGATATGTGTGTAAGGAATGCATTGTGTGAATCTGTGTTTGTATGTGTAAGGGCTGCAAGGTGTGTTTCTGTGTATGTATGGGATGCAGTGTGTGGGTCTGTAAGGGGTGCATTGAGTGTGTGTATGGGGTGCATTTAGTGTGTGTAAGGAATGCATTGTGTGTTTCTGTGTGTGTAAGGTTTGCATGATTGTGCGATTGTGTGTGCGTGTGTGATGGATGTCAATCTCTCTCCCTCCCTTGTCACTCTCTTTCTCCCTCTCCCTCCCTCCCTTGTCACTCTCTTTCTCCCCCTCCCTCCCTTGTCACTCTTTCTCTCCCTCCCTCGTCACTCTCTTTCTCCCCCTCCCTTGTCACTCTTTCTTCCCCTCCCTCCCTCCCTTGTCACTTTTTCCCCCTTCCTCCCTCCCTCCCTCCCTTGTCACTCTTTCTCCCCCTCCTTCCCTCCCTTGTCACTCTCTCCCCCTCCCTCCCTCCTTGTCCTTTCTCCCCTCCTCCCTCCCTTGTCCCTCTTCTCCCTCCCCCTCCTTTCTCTCCTCCCTCCCTCCCTTGTCACTCTTTCTCCCCCTCCCTCCCTGTCACTTTTCTCCCCTCCTTGTCACTCTTTCTCCCCCTCCCTCCCTCCCTTGTCACTTTCTCCCCTCCCCCTCCCCCTGTCACTCTTTCACCCCCCCCTCCCTTGTCCTCTTTCTCCCCCCTCCTTGTCACTTTCTCCCCTCCTCCCTTGTCCTCTTTCCCCCCCTCCCGCGTCACTCTTTCTCCCCCTCCCTCCCTTATCACTCTTTTCCCCCTCCCTCCTTGTCACTCTTTCCCCCCTCCCCCCACCTCACCTCAGTTGTAGCGTGGCCGAGCCCAGTATAGTTCGCGGGTACAGGTAGCTTTTGTTTCCTGTACCTGGCCGGACTAACAGGAAGTGCACACTCAGTGTTCACTTACTGTTAGTCCGGCCGGGTACAGGAGACAGATGCTCCCTGTACCAGCGGACTATACTGGGCTCGGCCATGCTACAGAGAGGGAGTGACAGGAGGGAGCGCTGAGCGCTGAGCGCTTCCCTCCTGTCAGCCCCTCTCCTCAGGCTGCGCCCGGGCGTTGCGGTCCGCTCTCATGGACGCACCGCCCGGGCAAAGCTGCAGCCGCCTGAGGCTCTCTACAGAGCGCTCGGGCGGCTGCAGCATGAGGGGGTGGCGGAGCTGGGGGGGATTTCCCCATAACCTGTCCCCCCCCGCATGATTTGCTGGGGGGGATGCGTCCCCCCCATCTCCCCCGTTCCTACGCCCATGTTCCTCAATGCACTCCTGCCACCTTTCATTTATACATATATATATATATATAAAAACAAGAAGTCAGGATAATCACTAAAGAGCATTTGAATTGTGAAAGAGAAATCAAATCCTGTATTTTTTTTAATAAGTTGAATAGTTTAATAAAACCCATTGTAATGTACAGTGTTTAAGAGTAGACATCCCAACTCACCCCCATCAGCCTCAATCAGCATCACCAGGACCATGAGCATGCCACTCTTGGACATTAAAGGTTGTTAACAGGAGAGTGGCTGCAAATATAAAAATGATAATATGTATGTGTGTATGTGTATATGAGTGTATGCATGTCAGATTGTGTGTGTTTATCCAGTGGCATACAAACAACCCATGGGGCCCCGGTGCGAAAACTGATCAATGCTCCCCCCCTTCCGCCTCACGCGTGCTTACTCTGCGTGGGCTGGGGCCGCAACACATGGTGGCGGGCACCTGGTCGCAGGGGTCGCAGGGCTGCGACCCCTGCGACCGCGGTATGTACACCAGTAGAGCATGCAGCATCTCCAGGAAGTCCCTCTAATGGCTGTCAGAGTGACAGTCAGAAAAGGTGGCATTAGGCAGCAATGTAAACACTTCCTTTTCTCAGAAAAGGCATCACTTACACTGCTCAGCCTAAAAGAGCATCATGCTTGCCCTAGAAACACTAGGCTGGCTTTTTCACATACACTTAAAGGACCACTACAGACACCCAAATCACATCAGCTCAATGAAGTGGTCTGGGTGCCAGGTCCCTCTAGTTTTAACCCTGCAGCTGAAAACATAGCAGTTTCAGAGAAACTGCTATGTTTCACTGAGGGTTAATCCAGCCTCTAGTGGCTGTCTCGTTGACAGCCGCTAGAGGAGCTTCCGCAATTCTCACTGTGAAAATCATAGTGACAAGACGCTGAACGTCCATAGGAAAGCATTGAGTAATGCTTTCCTATGGGTGGTTTAAATGTGCACGCGGCTCTTGCCACGCATACGCATTCGGAGCTGAGAGGCGGATCGGGGCAGAGAGATCCTCAGCGGCAAGGAAGTTCGGCGCTGGAGAAAGGTAAGTGCTTAAGACACACACACTCTCACGAACAGACGCATACACACTAGCTAACAGACACACACATTTACTGACAGACAC